GCCCTCGCCCTCGCCCTCGCGTCACCGTGTCGTCACCAGTCTGGAGTGCAGGGGCACCATTACTGCTCGCTCGCACCATAACACCGGCCTCTTGTGCTCAGGCGACCCTTCCGCCTCAGGCTGAAGAGGAACTGGGACTGGGGGGACGGACGGGGTGGTGGGCCCACCACCCCTCCCGGCTGTGTGTGTGTGTGTGTGTGTGTGTGTGTGTGTGTGTGGTGTGTACACACAGACACGGTCGCGCTGCTTCTCCTCTGTGGGTCAGCCGGCTCCTGGGCTCAGGCAGTTCTCCCGCCTCGGGCCCCCGACGTGCTGGGATTCCAGGCGTGAGCCGCCGTGCCCGGCCGGGGTCCAGATCTTGAGGGAGGGCCAGGGAGGCCTCTCCGAGAAGCCGCCGGGGGCTCCACGGAGCGTGGCTTCTGTGGGGGGAAGCCCCTCGACCAGGCTGTGAGGGCAGCAGCGCTTGCCACCGCCCTCCGCGCTTCCCGGATGGCCAGCTGAGGCATACGGCACCGAGGCCGGAGGGAAAGGTTGGCCGGTAGGCAGAGTGGGCTGGCCCGCCCCCAGAGCCCCGGCTGGGCGTCGTTCTGGCAACGTCCAGGAAGAGCGAGGGTACTTCCCCAACGGAGAGACACAGAGTAGGGGCTCCCACGGAAGCCTGCTCTGACCCGACTGCCCGCCCTGGGAGACCCCGAGCAGCTTGGCCACGTGTTGTGTCTCCTGACCTCCACGGGGGGAAGCTGAGAGGAGTGAGGTCTCATCTGAGGGCTACGGCCTCAGGGAAGCGTAAAGCGGAGGCCCAGGCCTCGCCGTATATCAAGGTGTGGGTCCCGAGGAAGTCACTACGGGGAGCTGGCACCCCGAAACAAAGGAGGCTTCAGCCCTGTTTTGGCTGTCGGCCCTGGAAGGCGCCAGGCAGGCGTGACCCATGTGATGTGTGGTGCTTCCTGATGTCCACTGGGCGTGGTCTCAGTGAGGTCGGGTTTGGGCGACCTCGGGTCGGCAGAGGGAAGAGTGCCAGGCTCTGCCAGTAGTCAAAGTCTGGATCCGAAGCGAGGACTAAGGGAACCTTTCCACACCTGGAAAGATGGGGCCAGTCTCCCACTTTGTCCCTGCTGTCAGCCCCGGGAGGCCTTGGGGCACAGTGGGCCCCGTATCATGGGGCCTCACGCCCGCATTTGTGGTCTCAGACCGTAGAAAGCTCGGTCTGCGGGGCAGACATCAGTTCAGCTGAACGTCTTGGAAATTCAGCATGGGGTCCCTGTCCCTGCCAGGCTCAAAATGAGGACCGAAGCAGATGTTACCTTTTCAGGAACCACCCCCTCCCCTGACCCGGAGTCCAGCGGGCCCTTGCTTTCAGCCCTGGGAGTCCCTGGGCAGGATGTGACTAGGAATGGGGACCAGTCGCTTTCTTCTCATTGGTGTCTAGAGGTCGACAGAGGGGTGAGGACCAGGGGCTCACGGGGGAAAGATGAAGACCCAGAGTGAGCACCGAGGGGATCACGATCCACACCTCAACAGCGGGTTGGGACAGACTCTGGCCTCCCCCTCAGGCCAGTGCTAGGGGGCCCAGGGCTGCACTCATAGTCGGCACTCATAGTCATAGTTCTCCTTCCAGGAGCCCCAGGAACGAGCAGTGAGGGCCTTAATCTGAAGCAGTGTCCTCAGGTCGCGGAGCACAGGAGGCCCAGCCAGTGCCAGGAGTCCAGGTGAAGTTCACCTCCTGAATGCATACCAAAGGCCCCACAGCCCCCAGCCCCACCCACAATCATGTCAGCTCTAGAGCCTCGTGCTCTGCCTGCTGGCTATACCCTAAGGAGCCATTTTACGTCCTCCTTCAAGTTCTCGGGGAGCAGGCTGACCAGGAGGACAGGAGACTTGTCAGGCCCTAGGGAACCACCTAAGGAGAAGACCTGTCAGTCAGCCTTTGTCAGCACTGCCAAGTGTGAGGCTTCTAACCCTCCCCTTCTTTCCCTCAGGCCTGTGGGATCCCGTTGCCCACGCCCTCCCGCCTACTCGCCCTTTAGCGGCCCCTGACACCGGTCATGATGCCCCACGGTCAGAAGAGTCAGCGCTGCGAGCTTGAGCAAGGTGGCCAGGCCCAAAGAGAGTCGCGGGGCCAGGTGGATGCGCAGGTTCCTGTAGCTGAGGAGGGGCAGGCCACAGCTGCCTCGTCCTCGACTCGACTCTGGGGAATCCCAGAGGAAGTGCCTGATGCTGGCACACTGGCTCCTCCTCAGAGTCCAGAGAGATCCTGCTCCTCCTCTTCTGCCGTCAGAGCTGCTCCATGGAGCCAATCTGATGAGGGTTCTGGAAGCCAGGAAAAGAAGGATCCAAGCACCTCTCAGGCCTGGCCAGGTCCTAAGCCCTTGTTCAGTAACATGCTAGAGAAGAAAGTGGCCGAGTTGGTCAAGTTCCTGAGTGTGAAGTGTATGTCCAAAGAGCCCGTCACGGAGGAAGAAATGCTGAAGAGTGTCATCAAAGAGTACAAGGAGCACTTCCCCGTGATCTTCCTGAAAGCCTGTGAATGCATGGAGGTCGTCTTTGGCATTGACGTGAGGAAAGTGGACCTTGTCAGCCGTTGCTATGTGCTCGACAAGACACTGGACCTCACCTACGACGGGAGGCTGAGCGATGACCAGGGCATGCCCAAGACCGGCCTCCTCATCCTCATCCTCGGTATCATCTTCATGGAGGGCAACTGTGCCCCTGAAGAGAAGATCTGGGAGGTGCTCAATAAGATTGGGGTGTATGACACCAGGACGGATTTCATCTATGGGGAGCCTAGGAAGTTTATCACCAGAGATCTGGTGCAGGAAAAATACCTGGAGTACCGGCAGGTACCAAACACTTATCCCCCATGCTACGAATTCCTGTGGGGCCCAAGGGCTCACGCTGAAACCAGCAAAATGAAAGTCTTAAAGTTCTTCTCCAAGGTGGCTGGGTATGACGCCACTTCCTTCTCATCCTTGTACAAGGAAGCTTTGAGAGACGAAGAAGAAAAAGCTCAGGCTCACGTTGCCACCACAGATGGTTAGTGCACATTCCAGGGCCAAGTCTGATAGCTTCACCGAGCCTCAGGTCTGAAACAGATTCTTTACCGTGTATTGTAGGAAGACAGCCAACACTTGAAGGAGGGGAGGGCCTGAGCGGAGCTGAACACAGTATGTAACGCCTCTTTGTTCCTGTTCTTTTTGAGTGACTTTGAGATTTTTTTTCTTTCTGCTGTTTTTCACTGTTTCTTGTAGGGCAACGTTTGATTCGTTTCAGGATGTAAGGTTATGGATAACAGCGTTCACACTTTTATAGCTGTTGATCAGGCTCAAGCATAAGGACTTTGCTACTTTGCAAAAGAAAATTTGGTAATCTCCCACTTTTCGGTTATCTGTCACAAGATTATATGGTGTTCCAAGTGAGAGAGTCTGACAATAAAGGACATACACAGAAAGAAACACAATGGATAGCTAATTACTGGATCACCATATATTTTAGCCTGTTGTTATGTAAGACTAAGTGATGTATCCTTAGATGCTCTTTGCTTATTCAATAACATAAAGGAAATTAAATCTTAAGTGAAACCATTTTCTCCGTGGCTCATTCTTGCCCCAGACATTCATAGTGATCTGCTCTGGGGAAGGTGCTGTGTTAGGAGTGGGGATCCCAGCATAAGTAAGACACACCTATACCCATAGAATGGTAGAGTCTCAGCGCAGCAATAAGGAAGATGGTGCAATGTCCTCTAAGACGTACAGAACCAGGAAAGGAGGGGTGAGGCGGCAGGGCTTCAGGTGGGAGCAGTTGAATATAAGTGCCCTGAGACAAAGTAGTTTGGGGCTTTGCAAAACTGCCATTCTATCTGTGGGGAGTTACATTTAAGATATGCTGGGTGCTGGCAGCGGCCATACTCTCAAAAGGGGTGTCTTACAGTTGAGAGAAAAGTCTGGAATGGAAAACCATTCTTAGCAGTTCCTTCCTGGGCCAAATGTGGAGGGTGTCCTGCAATCCTGTCCCAGTACGGGTGAATGGAGAACATGAACTAGATGTTCTATACACATCAGTTGCAAAGGTTTCCTGAAAAAATAGGGAATACTACCATAGCGCAGAAACCCCATATCTGAGAGAGCTTGTGTGTAATGCCTGCCTATTCCAAAGAAGTTGCCTGGAGGTCCAGCAGGGAATAAGATTGTTTTATCTGGACTTCAGGGAGGCACTGATGGTATCAAGTCAGTGAAGAATCTGCAGTCCACAAGCAAAGGCCCCTGGGGGTTGTACAGAAAACAGTTGTATAGATAAGCAAGTCGCTTAGTTAAATTCCTATCCAAGCCAGTTGCGGTGGCTCACACTTGTCATTCCAGCACTTTGAGAGGTGGATTTGAGAGAAATGCCTGGGCCCAGGCATTCAAGACCAGCCCAGGAAACTTGGCAAGAGCTTGTCTCTACAATGATAAAAAAAACCAAAAAACAAAAAATTAGCCAGCTGGTAGCATGTGCTGCTAGTTCGAGCTACTTGGAAGGCTGAGGCAGAGGGATCACCTGAGCCCTGCAGGTCAAGGCTCTGGTGGCTGTGAGTGTGCCACTGTACTCCAGCCTGGGCAACAGAGACTCCAACTAAAGAAAACAAATTACTATCCAGTGTTTACAATTAGATCAATGAAGAGTAACCGATGCAGCGCTTTCAACTTTTCTTGGCCACTTGCATCCCATGACCCCTTATTGGGAATATGCAAACCCTTCAGAGACCAGCCGTGGCCTGAGGCTGCTCCTGAGGGAGGGGGAGGGGGACACAGTCCGTGCCCAGATGACAGCCCACAACTCCCTTGAAATGATGCCAGAAGCCACTAGACTGGCATTATTTTCCCCTGGCCTAGGAGAATCAAGAGCCCACTTCGTTAAAACTGCATTATGATTAGGTGATCTTGAGTGTACTTTGGCCCACTATAAGCAAGGACTAAATTTAGTGGGGAGGCTTTGTATGTTTATTTTTTGATTCGGGGCCTCTGGCCCAGGCTGGAGTATAATGGCATGATCATGGCTCACCATAGCCTCAATCTCCTGGGCTCAGGTGATCCTTTCACCTCAGCCTCCTGAGTAACTGGGAATACAGGCACGCCATCTCACCCAGCTATTTTTTAAGATGCTTTGTGGAGATGAGTTCTCACTGTCCCAGGCTGGTCTTGCACTCCTGGCCTCTAGCAACACTCCCACCTAGGCCTCCCAGACTGCTGGGATTGCAGGCATGAGCTGCCCCCCCCCAGCCAAAAATAGTGTTTTGGGTGCAAGACCACCTGGGAGGGAAGGAAGAAGTTAGTCTTTGACTTGAATTCTGGGAGCTGTTGGTTGTATTCAGCCGGGGAATACTAACCAACACTCCAATTAGGCAATGCATTCTTTGAGAGTGAAAATTTACTGAGTTTTGTTTCCAAAACTGTATCTTTGCCAGATTTTGTGTCCAATGTCCCAGGGTACTACATATTCTCTAAAGTGTCATGGGTTACAAAGCAAATTCCCAGAGGCAAGGATGGTACATTCTGGGTTGAAATAATATTAGAAACAACTGCTATTTCCCAGGAGCTCAGCTGAGCTGGAGAGAGGACTGAGCTGCTAGGAGGAGACAATTCAAAGAAGCCAAAAATGCTAGTTAAACACTGAATCACTGTATTGCAACAACCCAAATCAGGGCACTTGGGTAATGTTTACCTATTCCAAGAAATCACCCAGAGGACAGGTTGGTAAAGACTTGGTAAATACTTACAGGAGGCATCCGATTGTGGCTGGTTGAGACACAATTTTCCACACCCCGGGAGACGTGGGGGAAGATTGTATACCTCCAGCATGGGCAAGGGAGCAGGACACCAGCAATAGCATTACGTGCAAAGAAGCAGAAACAAAGATGTTTGCTCTCTTAATAACTTCATAATTTGAAGAAATTTGAGCTTTCCTGGCTGTTGCACTCTCTTGGCCTAAGCCTCATGTAATAACTAAACAATTTCCATACGCGCAGGGTGCGTGTCTCCAAGGCATTTTGGTTGAGCACAGATGGCCTTAGCCAAGAGGAACAGTGATCAGTGGGGGGGCGGGGGGAGGGGTAGTGGGGCATATGTCCTGCATTTACTCGACAATCACTTACCTTTACCAAGATAGTAGAATCAACAGTGTAACACCAAAGAAAGTGCCGACTCCCCTTGCTCCATTTCTCCCCACAGGTCCAGGACCAGTTGGATCAGCGCAGACAAGGGGACCACCTCACCGATGAGGGATCCCTGAACAAAAGCCTCCAGTAGTTTTATGGACCTCAGGATGGGGCAGGCAAGGGGGAAGGGTGAGGTGTGGAAAAGTAGGTGAGGAAAAGTTTCTCCCCCTCCTGCTCTCCTTAAGGAGGCCTCAGCAGAGGCACCTGGGGAAGATCTCTGCTCAAGGCCTCAGAGGGACTGAGGATTGAAGGTGCTGCGGCAACGAATGAAAATATTGGAAGAGAGTACAGATACAAAGTTCATACAACTCATTTTGAGGATGTTTTTCTGCCCGGTAGTATGACTTTTATTGAAGACATTAACAAGTTGCATCCGAAATGAATTTGAGCTTTCCTGGTTGCCCTCTCTTGGCCTCAGACTCAGGTAGTAATTAAACAGTGTCTATGTATTTTTGTCCTTCAATCATCATAACAAAACAGTTAGATGTATACTGCTTTCTCCAATTTCTTAATGAGTAAATTAAGTTTGTTTTAGGAAAACACTTTTACTGGCATGTAATCATAATTGTGTATATTTATGCGGGACATGGTGATGTTTCCACAAAGAGAATGAAGGGTCATCAGATTGGAGCAATTAGCATATCCATCATCTCCAGTATTTATCATTGCTTTGTGTTGGGAACATTCCATATCCTCCTTTCAACAATTTGCAAAGATATATTCTTTTTAACTGTAGTTAGCCTACGATGGTATAGAATACTAGAACTTGTTCCTCCTATCTCGCTGTAATTCTGTGTCCGTTAACAAATTTCTCCTTAGCTACCCCCCTTTCTCCTACCCTTCCCAGCCTCCAATAATCCCCTGTTCTACTTTTTACTTTTATCAGATCAACTTTTTTCTAGCTTCCACATATGAATGAGACCATGCAGTGTATAAATCTCTGCTCCTGGCTTAAATCACTTCACATGATGTCCTCCAGTTCCATCCATATTGTGGTGAATGACAGGATTTCATTCGATTTCGTGGCTGAAGAGTACTCCATTTTGGATATTAGGGAATTTATATGTATTATATAATAATGTATATGATTTATATATAGAAATCACATTTTCTTTATTCATTTATCTGTTCTTGGATACCTTGGTTAACTCCCTAGCTTGGCTATTGTGAAAAGTGCTGAAAAAAACGTGGGAGTGTAGGTGTCTCTTAGACCTATTGACTTTCTTGTCTCTGGCTACATGCCAGTAATGGGATTGCTGGATCCTATGCTATTTCCGTTGGTAGTTTCTTGAGGTCTTCCATACTGTTCTCCATAGAATGGCCGTGCTAGTTTACATTCCCCCCAACACTGTACAAGAGTTTCATTTTCTCCGCATCCCTGCCAGACTTTATTTTTTGTATCTTTAAACTAGTCATCCTAACTGGGGTGAATTGATACCTCACTGTGGTTTTGAATTGCATTTCCCTGGTAATTACTTGAGTGCTTTTTCACATACTTGTTGGCCGTTTCTACGTATCCTTTTGAGAAATGTGTATTCAGCTCATTTCCCATTTTGTACTCAAATTCTTTGACTTTTTTGCTATTCAGTTGAGCTTTTTATATATTCTGGTTATTAATGGTTGTCAGATGAATGGTTTGAAAGTTCTTTCTCCCATTTTGGGGTTGTTTCTTCACTTCGTTCATTTTTCAGGACCTCTGGTCTGAACTCACCTACAGTCCCTGCTGTTCCCACATCTCCTAGCCTGAGGCCAGTCTTCTGTCTCTTAGCTCTCTAGGTTTATGTGTCTTCTTGGTGCTCCATAATGTCTCTCATGCAACAGAAAGAGGGACCTTGTACCGGGGGACTA